TTGCTTCTGATTGTGCTTCCGTTGCTTGCGCTCCCTATTCGTCGTGTTTCTCAAGATCTTTCGGCTCGCAAGCAAGGCGTCCACATTGTAAAGTATTATCTGACAAACGAATCTGAAACAGCAAGGGGAATTCAGAAAAAAAAAGTCGATGTCGTCACGTTTAATAATAGAAAAGCAAAATTGCACGATATTACCTATAAGCATACATAATTATATACAGGGTGAGTCTTAAATAAGTGTAAATATTTTCAGGGGTGCTATATTTCGACCCCAGGAACACGTCTATGAGATTTTTTCGCTAAAAAAAGGTGTTGAAAATCGTGCATTTTCTTTTAAATTTTCCTGTATATTTTTCGAAAACTTTTTAGAATTGCCTGTTCACAGCAAATTTTCCCACGGTATATTTTCTTAATCTCTGATATTACATAGTTGATTACAGCAATAAAAGGGATGCAAATACAGAAAAAATCCGGTGGCTCTCAAATTTTTTTCAAAAAAAAACCTTTTTTTTTTGAACTTATAACTAGTTTATTTTGGACTTATCTGAAAAATGGTAAAGAGAAAATATGTTTCTTTTATCGAGATCTACCAGCCCTGAAAATATTTGCACTTATTTAAGACTCACCCTGTAAATGCCAATATTTTGACGTATTTCTTATTGTGAAATGTATATTTATCTAATTAACTCATTTCCTTCATTCTGCCTTTTATAAAAGGTAAAGTATTTCCTAAAGATATCGTCCGCTTAGGGTAAGCTGGCAACGCTGACAAAATTCATCATGGCATCCCGGATTCAACCAATCTGATTGGTCAAGATTCTCGCACGTCTTACCGCCATTACCACGAACTTTATGCCCCTCCCTAGGAACAGTAGAAACAGTCACTACTATTGAAAAATCCAGTGGTGGCGTCATTGTATTGTGTTTTGTGCCTTGAACTTGACTTGTGCTTATTGTAATTAGTACACGCGTACATTTTAACAACTATTACTATATATGGGAAATTACTATTCCTAATAAAATTATATTTTTTTAAAACACCGCACACTCCTGGATATTTTATGAATGAAATCGGTTATGATTTTAGAAAATGTGCTTCCGTCGAAAAAAATGTGCGATCCCCTGACCGTTGCCCTGTTGTTTCAGATCCGTTTGTCAGACTGTAGTGCTTGCGTTCGTGCTGTTCGGACATGAAGTATTCTTAATAGCGGCTGCTAGTGCGTTTATTATTGCAAAACGAAAGAGACAAAGTGAAAAAAGGCGGTGTTGGATGTCTAATAATTTCAAAAGTAGATCCCAGCATAGTAAAAGCAAACTTCTACATGATTTACAGACAGAATGTTTTTTAATAATTTATATCGCATGTCCGCTACTGATTTTGAAAGACTTATTAACTTAGTTGGCATAAAAAGAAAAAATACAACTTTTAGGAAGTGTATTCCGGTTAAAGAAAGATTGGTTATAAGTTATAACATAACATAGCATTAAGATTCCTTGCAACTGGAGACTCACATACCAGCTTAGGTTATTTATTCAAAGTTTCCAAACAAAGCATTTCAAAAATAGCACCAGCCGTATGCCAAAATAAAAATAAAGATCAGATTAAGATAAGTAGGCAATATATTTATATTGTAGAGTTATATTTTATTAAAGGTATATTTAATATTATTAATCCAAGAACAAAACACAACTATTTTCAAATCTAAACAAAAAAAAAATAAGAAAAATCATGGTAGTATAATTATACTGCAGTAAATATCGAATCCTATGAATGACACCAAACCAACCAAACTAAAAATTAAACAAATAACGCAAACAGCTCGAGAGCAACGCGACAGAGCGTAAGGGTACGAACATAGTGGAGGCAGGTTTCTGCTTTCCGGCAGCCAGCGCCGTCTCTGGGCACCTATTCTTGATCACTCGCATCTTCAAATATCGCTCACATCTCGCATCTCCGAAAAAGCCATATAAAAATACACGTGATGCGTAACTTTGCGTATATGCATTACGTGAATTGTTATATGGCTTTTCGGAGATGCGAGCAGGGTTCGAAGTAGTTAATTAAGAGGAAATTTACCTGATTAAATAACCTAACCTAACCTAACCATATCCAAACGCCGCTCCCGCCGCGCCGGCCCCGCACATAGGGGTATTTGGTCTATAAACCTGGCCAAAAGTGAAATATTTTTATTTTCATTTTTTATCTTAACTGAATACAAATCTATAAATACTAAATGTAAGCAGGTTTATAAGCTTTTTTTAAGTCGTAAGTTGACTATCAAATAAATAATATATTTCAATTATAAGTATGAATTATCTTGAGTGTATTCTGAAAATTTCTAAAATTATAAAATAGTGGAATTGTTTGTAGTGCTTTTTTTTGTGCAAATTGTTTATAATAACTGTCATGATGGATACAGAGCCAGCTGGCAAGTCCTGTTTTATGCCATATTTTTATTTTGAAACGTTTCCTTCTATTCTATTTCTTTATAATGTTTTATATTTAAAAAATCAGAGGCATTTTTATAAGGTGTAAGACTATTCGGCAATATTCCGCATGGAAATTAGTATCCGTTCAATGCTTAAAGTCTCCAGCTTTGGAATATGTACAAAAATCTTGCCAATATTTGCCACTGCCAAAAAAACATCGATTTAAATAGATTCTTTAAAGGAAATAGTCATTACCCTATAATACCCATCCTCGCTCAAATATCGTCTATTATATACAAATTACTTTCTTGTTCTAGCATCCTCATCCAATTGCTTGGTTTTGCACAGAATGGCCCTATTTGATAGGTGGAAAGGGTTCAGAGTAGAGGAAAAAATATTATGTAGCAAAAACAAAATGGGGTTCCATATTAGCAACCTCTCCTCTAATTAATAATTAATATTACTAGCAAAAAAGTAAAAAAATCATAAAACATAATTTTGGCCAACTCTTAGCTCTTAATACCCTTTGTGCGCCGTCGGCGCGTGCAAAAACAGAAATAAATAAATTTTCGTTCCGGTAAAAGCGAGAACGCCTGCTTTCACTGTGAACTAGCCGATTTGATAACACGCTTTAATTTTTCAAGGTTATAAGCGTGAGGCGGCGCGGTGCGGGGCTACGATGTACCCATATACAGGGTGTCCCAGAAATAAGTGCAAGTATTTTAGTATAGTTCAACCCCAGAAACACGCCAATGAGGTTTTTTTCTAAATATAATATTTTTTTTTTGAAAATTCGGAATTTTTTGAAATTTTTTTTGGAATTTTTTTTAGTTTTTATTTAAAGATTAAAGTTACAAGAAAGAAAATCCAGAAAAGATACAGCGGTTCTCAAAATTTTAGCAAAAAATCATTTTTTTTGGAAATTTTCAAAATAAAATGACTCCGTTATTTTGGACTTATTAGAAAAACGAGAATGAGAAAATATGTTTCTTTTATCGAGCTTAGAGGTGTGTAGTTCGTGAACGAACTAGTTCCAATGAACTATTCCGACCCCGGAATGAAAGGAACTAGTTCCTGGTTTCTCAAAGAACTAGTTCCTCAGAACCTGTTCCGGGATCGGGACTGTGACCGATATAGAATAATATGCGACGGCGACGGATCGGCTAGCGCGCGTAGCCCGATAGTAGGCAGGAGTGGGGAGTGCCAGCCGTACGTTATCGGATCCGGACCTAGAGGAACTAAACTAAATAAAAGACTAATTTACGTCCGCACGGATCGAGCCAGCGCGACGATGCTAGGCAGGAGTGGGGAGTGCCAGCCGTATGCCGTATGTTATCGGATCCGGACCTAAAGGAACTAGAGGAACTAAATAAAAGACTTGTTTACGTATGGATCAGCCAGCGCGATTGATGCTAGGCAGGCGTGTGGAGTGCCAGCCGTATGTTATCGGATCCGGACATAGAGGAACTATTAAAAGACTAGTTCACGGGAATCTATTCAGTCGGCAGATCCGCGATATAATACAAGGAGACGACGATGGATTCGGCCTTGTCTATTGCCACAGCCGGCGCGGCGTAATTACCACATTTTTTTAAATATTTTATGGGAATGTTTCACTTTAGGTCCCTAAAATTAAGAAATATCTTGTAAAATGAAGTAGATATTCTGAATTTTTAGACAAAAACAAAAAGCTTGAAGTGGGGAAAATACATTTTTTCGTATATTTTTCGTATTATTTCCTCCAATTGATTTGTGATATAGTTGTTAAACTCTGACTTGAGTTTCTTTAATTTTTTTAACTGCTATAAAACTTACCTAAATGTTTTTAACATATGCAATTACACGTCTTCTGATATTTCGTACATTATAAAAATTATAATGATCTGTATAATTTTGAATAGTAAACTGGGGGGTGAATAGTTCTGGCTGAAAATGAAATCCATTAGCAAGCAACGGGGATGTCAATGTTAGTCGGGAACTATTGTGAACTAAGGACCTAGTTCAAGGAACTATTTTTCTGGAGGAACTAGAACTAAGGAACTAGTTCCTCCCAAGGAACTAGAATTCCCACCTCTAATCGAGATCTACCACCCCTTAAAATACTTGCACTTATTTCTGGGATACCCTGTTTATAACAATACACGTGATGCGTATACGCAAAGTTCCGAACGATGTCAAGAATAGGTGCCCAGATTGGCGCTGACTACCAGTAAGCGGCAAACCTGCTTGCACTGTGTTCGCACACTAACAGTCGAAACAGGCATTTTATGTGATCCCAAGCACGTGGGGCACCACGAGCGCCGCGAACATCTCGCTCCGACTGTTTGCCATATTTTTCGTGTTTCACGTGTTCGTTCGGCCTGGTCGCGAGCAATGTGGACGCACCTGGAAATCCGATTTAAATAGAAAATTGATTAAAATCACAGCAATCCGATTAAAATAAAAAAAAACTGATTAAAATAAGAAAATATTTTTTTAATCGTGATTTTTTTACATACTGCTTTAAACATCTGATAAGCTCTGACACATTATTATTTGACCGATATACTGACATTTATCAAAATTATTTTTCACTAACGTCACGTACGACAATGACATTAATTTAAATTATCGCTCTGGAAAAATGGGCAAAGACTATTACAGTATTTTAAACATTCCCCACAATGCCACAGACGACGACATAAAGAAAGCCTACCGCAAACTGGCCTTGAAGTACCATCCCGACAAAAACAAAGCACCAAACGCCGAGGAAAAGTTCAAAGACATAGCTGAAGCTTACGAAGTCCTGTCCGACAAGAGAAAAAGAGATATATACGATCAGTACGGAGAGGACGGTTTGAAAGGAAGAGCTGCAACTGGGGGTGGTGGAGGAGGAGGTGTATTTCAAAACGGTACCACCTTCTACACATTCCACGGCGACCCTAGAGCGACTTTCGCGCAATTTTTTGGTGGCACGAACCCTTTCGAGGATATGTTTCTATTCAGCAACAATGGAAACTTTTTTCAGGAACCGTCTAGCGGACACAGGCAGCAAGATCCGCCAATAGAGCAAGACGTTTACGTTTCCCTGGAAGATATCCTGACCGGATGTTCTAAAAAGATGAAAATACAGAAAAAAGTGCTTCGAAACGACGGTAGTCTAAGAAAGGAAGACAAAATATTACACATCGAAGTAAAACCTGGATGGAAAGCTGGAACTAAAATAACTTTCCCTAAGGAAGGAGACCAGGGACACAACAAAATACCTGCTGACGTTGTGTTTATTATTAAAGATAAGCCTCATCCAGTATTCAAACGAGAAGGAAGCGATATACGATACACGGCAAAAATATCTTTAAAAGAAGCTCTGTGTGGCTGTTCCGTTAACGTACCGTTCTTGGAAGGTGGAAGAAAATTGTTGCATTTTCAGGATGAAATTATAACTCCTGATACTATAAAACGAATAAGTGGACAAGGATTGCCTTTCCCTAAGGAGCCATCACGCCGAGGAGATTTAATAGTTGGGTTTAACATTGTTTTTCCTAGAAAACTGTCAACGCCTGCACAGAACAAATTACGAGATATCCTTCCCTAAATGTTATAGAATAAATATGTACTCATTCACTCACTAATAAACTTAACAAATTTAGAATAAAGTATTATAAAAAGCATGTATAGTAATAGGTTCAAAATATCCAAATCGTTATGAAAATAAATGTGGATATTTAAGACGTTTTATTATTTTTGTACCCACGTCTTTATTAGAAAGATATACAAAAATATGGAATATCTAAAAAGTCTAGAAACTCTTAAGCCTAAAAAATTACAAATCCAGAAGATGCCAACAATTTACCTCCTAAGTCGCCAAAGATGTATTATTCACTAAAGAAGTATCCGTAAATAATATACATATACATAATACCTACTAATGTAGAGTAAAGAAAACCTGCTTACTACAAATTTGCGATAGAGAGATCTTATTTCACAAAAAGCTGAAGCATAATATGAAGTATTCTTGGATAAGAAAAATAAAGATATATCAATCAGTATGTTGAACACTGAAGAAAAGACACCTCTAATGCTGTTTAAAAGAACTCTCGCTATGTACAAATGTCACGTAGATCCCAGAGCAATATTCACACAACTCTTCGCCGGTAGACACAACTTTTTTCAGAAAATCGTCTAGCGGACAGAGACAGCAAGATCCGCCTACAGAGCAAGATGTTTACGTTTCCCTAGAGGATATTCTAACCGGATGTTCTAAAAAGATACAGAAAAAAGTGCTCCAAAACGACGGTAGTCTAAGGGTACGAACATAGTGGAGGCAGGTTTCTGCTTTCCGGCAACCTGCGCCGTCTCTGGGGACCTATTCTTGACCACATATCGCTCACATCTCGCATCTCCGAAAAAGCCATATAACAATACACGTGATGCGTAACTTTGCGTATATGCCGTGTATTGTTATATGGCTTTTTCGGAGATGCGAGCAGGGTTCGGAAGTAGTTAATTAAGAGGAAATTTACCTGATTAACTAACCTAACCTAACCTAACCATATCAAACGCCGCTCCCCGCCGCGCCGGCACGCACATGGGTATTTGGTCTATAAACCTGGCCAAAAGTGAAATATTTTATTTTCATTTTTTATCTTAACTGAATACAAGCCTATAAATACTAAATGTAAGCACGTTTATTAGCTTTTTTTAAGTCGTAAGTTGACTATCAAATAAATAATATATTTCAATTATAAGTATGAATTATCCTGAGTGTATTCTGAATATTTCTAAGATTATAAAATAGTGGAATTGTTTATAGTGCTTTTTTGCAAATTGTTTATAATAACTGTCATGATGGATACAGAGCCAGCTGTCAAGTCCTGTTTTATGCCATATTTTTATTTGGAAACGTTTCCTTCTATTCTATTTCCTTATAATGTTTTATATTTAAAAAATCAGAGGCATTTTTATAAGGTGTAAGACTATTCGGCAATATTCCGCATGGAAATTAGTATCCGTTCAATGCTTAAAGTCTCCAGCTTTGGAATATGTACAAAATCTTGCCAATATTTGCCACTGCCAAAAAAACATTGATTTAAATAATTCTTAAAGGAAATAGTCTTTACCCTATAACACCCATCCTCGCTTAAATATCGTCTATAATATACAAATTACTTTCTTGTTCTAGCATCCTCATCCAATTGCTTGGTTTTGCACAGAATGGCCCTATTTGATCGGTGGAAAGGGTTTCAGAATAGAGGGGAAAAATATTGTGTTGGAAAAACAAAATGAGGTTCCATATTAGCACCCTCTCCTCTAATAATTAATATTACTAGCAAAAAAGCAAAAAAATCATAAAACATAATTTTGGCCAACTTTTAGTTCTTAATACCCTCTGTGCGCCGTCGGCGCCTACCAAAACAGAAATAAATAAATTTTCGTTCCGGTAAAAGCGAGAACGCCGATGAACGCTGGTTGACGGCTCCTACCTGCTTTCACTGTGAACTAGCCGATTTGATAACACGCTTTATTTTTCAAGGTTATAAGCGCGAGGCGGCGCGGCGCGGCGCTACTATGTAACCATATACAGGGTGTCCCAGAAATACGTGCAAGTATTTTAACTTAACTGGTAGTATAGTTCAACCCCAGAAACACGCCTATGAGGTTTTCTAAATTTTTTTTGGAAAATTCGGAATTTTTTGAAAATATTTTTGGAATTTTTTTGCAATTTTTTTTAGTTTTTAAAAAATTTAAAAAAATAATTTCTTTATAATATGGCAACATGGATAGTAGATTAAATTTATAAGAAAGAAAATCCAGAAAAGATCCAGTGGTTCTCAAACAAATCTGGAAGTATTGGAAAGAATATGTAAGGACCAAGAACTATTGACTACAATAAAACGACGGAAAGCAGCATATTTTTCGAAATAACAAATATAGTTTCCTACAGCTGATCGTTGAGGGAAAGATTGAAGGACGACGAGGCATCGGGCGTAAACGGTTCCGTAAAGGAATTCCGATTGATGGCCGCCAACCTCCGATGAGGAGAAGGCACATGAAGAAGGTTCTCAAAATTTTAGCAAAAAATCATTTTTTTTGGAAATTTTCAAAGTAAAATAACTCCGTTATTTTGGACTTATTTGAAAAACGATAAAGGGAAAATATGTTTCTTTTATCTAGATCTACCACCCTTTAAAATACTTGCACTTATTTCTGGGATACCCTGTTTATAACAATACACGTGATGCGTATACGCAAAGTTGCGAACGATGTCAAGAATAGGTACCCAGATTGGCGCTGGCTACCAGAAAGCGGCAAACCTGCTTGCACTGTGTTCGCACACTAAGAAAGGAAGACAAAATATTAAACATCAAAGTAAAACCTTGAATGGAAAACTGGAGAACCAAAATAACTTTCCCTAAGGAAGGAGACCAGAGACGTAGTAAAATACCTCCTGACGTTGTGTTTATTATTAAAGATAACCCTCATCCAGTATCCAGGTACGAAGGCAGCAATATACGTTACACGGTAAAAAACACTTATCATTAAATATACAAACTTGTTTAAAAAAATAATCATTTAATTACTTTAAAAGTAGTTTTAATAGGCGAAAATTGCCATTTATTACACCAGAAATAAAGATCTTCCTTCTAAATTTAAACACAATGTCCAGACATAATGTTTCTGATTACTCATTCAAATTGTCATCACCTAGACAATATATTATAATTAAGTAATAAAATGTATGCTAAAGTACACGTAGACACCTCAAACCCGTAAGTTAAAGATATTAGAAGATTTATGTAGTTTTATCTTCTATTCTACATACAGGGAAATCAAATCCATAAAAATTGGTCATCACGTGTTTGTGTAGTAAAGTTGTCATAAAAAAAATATTTGTACGGTAATCGCAAAACAATTTCCGATGCACGTAATCAACTTTGAGTGACAAGCGATGGCGACAGCGCTGCCAAATTGTGATTTATGGGATGAATCTTAATGTAAAATTGGGAAACAATATATTTTTTCTACAAACGTCAGTAAAAATGTAATTTTTAACGCATGCTGTCAGTGCCTAAAATGTGACATTATGTCACTGATGGTAAAAGTCATTTATTAGCAGTTAATTGCAGATGAGCCAATAGTTTCATGTCGATATTCGATGCTACTCACAAAATAATTATTTCACTGTTCAATAAAATCAAACTCGATTATGGGTACTATGTACTATGTACCTACTATATATTATGAAACTTTTTATGAGTCGCAAAATATGGGATATCTGACAAATTTGTTTGAAAACCTATTTTAGTCAAGGCTTAAGTTATCGTTCATTAAAATCCTTAAATAAAAAAATACATATCTAATCGCGTTAATCCCTATCTCAAAAACAGTTGCAACAACGCATAAATTATTACTGTCGCGAAAACAATTCACAATAAACAATTTCACTTTTTTTATTTAACTTCTCACCACGTCATGTAGATTAAATAGGTTGAAGGAAGTACATACTAAATTGCGTTACAACTTGGTACAACGAGGTATTATTTGTAATAAGATTAAAATCGGCGATATGTAAATCCGATCATACAGCTAAATTCTCGCCTATATCTACGAAATTCTTCCAGATTTAAAAATTCCACCGACAACCGATTTTTTATGCGTAAGGTACCGGGTGTCCCACTAAGAATAGCTCTCGGCTGTATCTCGGAAAGTATTAGCCGTAGGGCTTACGGAAAAAAATATTTATAACTAAAGGGGCTATGAGAAATTGCTGGAAATTATTTCCAAGTTTGTAAAACAGCCGCTAGGTGGCGCAACTGCTATAGAAAATAAGAAAATGGATTTTTTACAGAATTTTGCCTAGATAATGAGTACTATAAATAATAGCTTCATAATCTTCAGTAAATGTTGGATTTTCTTTGTTAGAACCATTTTCCCCTATCTGCTAAAATAAAGTGGTGGGGGAAGGTTAGATCTATCTTTATATTAGTGTTAATAACTCCGGACTGGATGATCAGAATCCAACAAGCGACGGGCAACATTAAACGGGCTCGTTTAAAAGAGCGTTTCTTACTCTATATTGCACCATAAAAATAATAATAAGGTTTTGAACGTAGACGCCAGGGGGCGCTTTCTTACAATCTAACAAACATAGCGCGTTTTTTCAAAAAATTAGATACGAGAATATAAGTAATTTTAGCTGATAGTAAAGAATAGTAAAAGTTTAAAAAGTCAGCAAAAACCGCATCTTGATATCTTCTTTCAAACCGAAGATATTAGCAAAATTATAATAAATACCAAGAAATAAGCCCTTAATTACCTTATTTTTACAATACGGTATCAGTAGCCCTCTTGATTATGCCCATTCTAACAAAAAAATATGATAGAAACAGTCAGTTTATTTTAAAATCGACGAAATACCAGTATACCATAATACCAGATGTATTAATATGTAATAACTAAGATATTAATTAATAACAGTGAACAAGAAACGATGATTCGGTGAAGTCATGGTAGGCTTTGGAAAAAAGTTGCTTTTCACGTAATAGTATAAACGTCAAATTGTTATTAGATCAACATTTTGATAGTCTTAGCAGCGTTTTTTATCTTTTGATTGCTTTTTCAAAATGCCAACAACTTCAACTACTTC